ACCATGTGAAAACCTCCCTGTCCCAGCATGGTCCCAGCATGAAAGAGCAGCTTGAATCGTTATAGCCAAAGGGGCAAAGTTGAGTTCAAATGACAGTATCAAATCCCAAGGGATATTCGTACCCAGGTATCTAATGTGAGAAGAAGTCCATCTAAAGTGAAACTGGGAGGCAATATGTTGTTGAAAGGAGTGGTCTACAGAAATACCCATAGCCTCTGATTTGGAATAGTTTATTTTAAAGTTGGAAAGCTATTCGTAGCGGACAAGTTCTTGTAGCAAGGACAATAAAGAGGTGGTTTGGTGAAGACACAAAGAAAATCAAGTCATCCGCATAAGCAGCCAATTTGTGTTCCTTGCCCTTAGCTGTAATACCCTTAATGTCTGAATGCGCCCTGATAGTCCTTAGGAAGGGTTCCATGGTAAGTACAAAAATTAGGGGTGACAGAGGACATCCCTGCCTGGTCCCGTTATGAATAGAGAATGCATCTGATAGTGCTCCGTTAACTCCAACCCGCGCTGATGGGGTGGATGGAGTGAAGAGCAGAAATCCACTGCAGCATGCCCTCTTCTACACCAATATGTTTCATGGTTGTCTGCAGAAAAGTCCAGGAGACCCTGTCAAAAGCCTTTATTTGCATCTGCAGAGAAGAGCACCAAGGGGACCTGCATTGAGAGGGACTAATGTACGGCCGCTAAGACCCGTTGTGTGTTGTCTCTGCACTCTCTATCTGGAGTAAATCCAGATTGGTACGGGTGAATCAATGAAGGAAGGATCCGCAAGAGCCTAGACACCAAAATCTTTGTAAATATCTTAAGGGCTACATTTAGCAGGAAGATGGGCCTATAACTAGAGCAGAGAGACGGATCCTTCCCCTGCTTATGGATTACTAAGATATGAGCCTGTAAAGAGCTTGCTGGGATCTTGTAGCCCTCCCTGAGGGAGTTAAATGCCACCAAGAACCTGGGGGCCAGTTTGTCCACATACTGCTTGTAGTAAGCCAGTGTGTAGCCATCAGGGCCAGGAGCTTTACCGGGTTTCATAGAAGCAAGTGCCCTCATGAATTCATCTGCCGATATTGGGACGTCCAGGTTCACGACATCCTCCGCCGTCAGGGTAGGCATCTTCGAAGCTCGCAAATAGTCTTTAGCAGCCTCCTGTTTATCCCTCTGGGAAGGAGGGATAGTGCCATCCGGCAGATTATAAAGGGAAGTATAATAGTCTCGAAATGACAGCAATCTCCGAGGAGGAGGAAAGAAAGAAAGTGGATTTTATCTTTGAAATATACGTTTTTGCTCTGGCGGATCTAAGGCATTAGCTAGAAGTCTACTTGGTTTATTGCCATATTCGTAAAAGGACCTTCGCACCCGAGTAAGTTTCGCCTTAGCCCGATCAGAAAGAAGGGAATTCAAACTATCTCTCAATGTCTGTAGCTGCTCTTCAACCCGCTGGGCTTGATATTTCTCATGTATTCACTCCAGGGCATGTATTTTAGTGAACAGAGATTCCATCTGAGAAGCGAGGGTTCTTTTTCTATGGTTACGTAAGCTTGTGAGAACTCAAAGGAGAAACGCATTTATGTGCCTCCCAGAGACAAAACGGGGAAACTTCATCAGTGGAATTGGTCCTAAAAAAGGAATCAAGAGATTCCACAATCTGCCCTTGATAAGTCGGGTCGTGCATTCAGCTTCCAATGCCAGGGTCGATGAATCTGCTCGCCTAGTTCTAGAGTACAATGGGTTGCGGGCATGATCTGATATCGTGAAAGAACCAATGGTCGCATAGGAGACCAGCATAAGAGCATTCTGCTTGACGAATGCGTATTCTATCCTGGAATAAGTTTTATGATTATGGGAGTAGAAAACTATAGTCCCTATCATGAGGGTGTAGCAGCCCCTAACCATCCACCAGTTGATGTTCATGTAGTAGCTTTCCATCCGCAATTTAGAATATGAGAGGTGAGAGGCTCCTCTCGACACATCTTGTAGTAGATCGAGAGCCACATAACAGTCTCCCCCAAAGATCACTGTCCCCTCACAATGTTGATCCATCAGAGATAGACAAGACGCCAGCGAAGAGACTTCAGTAGATAGATACAAACTGACTAAAGTAACTTTCTGCCCACAAAGCTACCCCCGGACCAGGAGAAATTGACCATCAGTGTCAGTAACAATTTGGTGTTTCACTCATTGGACTTGTTTTGAGATTAGAATCGCCACCCCTTTAGACTTAGAGAATGAAGAGGCACTATGATATGTCGTAGCGAAACAGAAATGACACAACCTTGGAATCTTGTCCTTGCGGAAGTGGGTCTCCTGAAGGAAAATAACGCAAGACCTTTGGCCCCACAATTCGCTCAACAGTTTATGGTGCTTCACCAGGCTGTTCAGGCTCTTCACATTGTACGACAAAGATAACTTTGGGCATGGTGAGGCACACTTGTCTCCTTGTTGAGTTGCATACAGCAGTTGTGTGAACAGATGCATTGTATGCAATTGTGAAAAACTGCACAGGCATTCTGAGCATCCCTGAGCAGGCATTCTTACTGATGTTAATTTGGGTCACAGTGGCTGTGCGTACACAGCCGCTGCTCCCAATCTGACATCCATGTGGGTACAGGGCCCAAGACACACACTGTCTGTGTTGGGAGATCTGTGCACCCACATGGACATCAGATTGGAGCAGTGGCTGTGTCCATGTAGCTGCTGTGACCCAACTGACATCCAAGGGACTGTTTGCGAGGAATGTACAGGTGTACGTTGTAGTACACCCTGAGAGGACAAGGTCTAGAGCCAACCCAGTTACTGCTTACATTTGTGCTATTTAAATCATTGTTAATGAATGGTTTTCTATGTTTACTACAAAAGTGTGCTCATGTCAGAACAGGCCAGAGGGTAAATGGATGTAAAAGCATAGTTTATAAAGTTACTGGGGAGAGGTATTATGTTAGAAGAAGGAGGTTAATATAGGTTGTTGAACAAAAGTAAGATGCTATTAGTTAAATGAATGAACCTATGCAAAGTGAAGAGAGTTGAAATTAGGGTAGTATTTGGGTAAAATATGCAAAATTGTAGTGAGAGGTCAGCTGTGATGGGATAATAAAAAAAATGGAGGTGATGGAGATTAATACGGATGCAATGTGATCAGGTAATTCAAAGAACTGCAAGGGGGTCAAACTGTGCCATTTTTGGGGATGAAGGGGCGGCAGAGGAATGTATGACAGTGGAGGAGGGTGAGGTGGCTGAGAAAATTCCCTGAGAAAGAAGGTAAGGGCGATCCAGTTGAGACCACAGAGTCTGCTAGAAGTCTGACTATATCCGAGTACCATGATAGCCTGGGCCAATTCAGTGCAATAAAGTCATCAATATGTCTTACCGCTCTATCCTCTGAAGCGGGTGAGGTAGGAGTTTAGAAAGGAGAAATGCATATAAAATCAGGTTGAACTAATCCACAAAGCCATGAGGACAGCCACCAAAAAGCAAACTATTTCTGGCCCTCGACACGCATCTGTCCTGTTTGTTAATCTGGATGCCTACTTTGGGCATTCTTCACTGGAGACAGAGTGACTGGAAGATCTCTGCGTGGAGAGACCACTCTTGGATCCAGATTTTTATGGCTTAGGAGATCTGCTTGACATTTTCCATGTCTGGAATGTGCACCGCAGACAGGGCCAAAACATGATGCTCTGCCTAAGTCAGAATAAGCTGTACTTCCCTTAAAGCAACCTGACTCTGGATATCTCCATGATGATTGTTGTATGGCTCCCTGTATGCCACCACCTGGAGGGCCTGAGGTCCCAATGTGGCCTGTGCTAAACAACATGAAAGTTGTAGAGGTTGTGTCCAAGTTGACCAAGGCAAAACCAAGATGATGCCCACACACCCACTGTCAGGGATACGGGTGTGACCAGAGGTATGTGAACTGACGTAGGGAAACGCAGGCTTCAGATATGTTATAAACATTATAATTTATTAATACTAACAATACAAAAACACAGTGCAATACTAAAACATAAACACAGTGCAAACGAACCAAACCAAACCACCCACAGATAACAATACATACAATGCAAGCGTAGTCAGGCAGGCCGGGGGTACAACAACTAACGGGCAGGTAGGCACAGGGGGTCAGGCAGAGAATGGTCGGGGTCACAAGCCAGGGATCAAACAGGAGAAGTCAGCAGAGGTCAGGATCAAGCAGGGTCGGCAACAAGTCAGTCAGGCAGGAAACAGGAATGCAGGTAACAAGATACAGGGGCCCATGGAAAAACACACAGCAAGGCCCAGACTGCAGGTCTGGCCATCCCTCAAATACACCTCCGTAATCAGCTTCAGGTGTTTGGCTGACTGCAGGGTTGAGTCTCTGATTGCTGAGAGCACCCGCTGGCCAGCCCTGGTACTGCAACCCACAAGGCAGGTGAGTCCCACCATTACTGGCAAGTCCATTCCTGACAGTACCCTCCCCCTCAAGGAGTGGCCTCAGGACACTCCAAACAGTCCTAGCTGGGCAAAATGTTCCACCGCCCGGGTCTGGTAACTGGCGGGATATCAAAGAGAGGCACATCGGGCTGGACTCCGGCAGAGGCACATCGGGCTGGACTCCGGGCAGAGGCACATCGGGCTGGACTCCGGGCAGAGGCACATCGGGCTGGACTCCGGGCAGAGGCACATCGGGCTGGACTCCGGGCAGAGGCACATCGGGCTGGACTCCGGGCAGAGGCACATCGGGCTGGACTCCGGGCAGAGGCACATCGGGCTGGACTCCGGGCAGAGGCACATCGGGCTGGACTCCGGGCAGAGGCACATCGGGCTGGACTCCGGGCAGAGGCACATCGGGCTGGACTCCGGGCAGAGGCACATCGGGCTGGACTCCGGGCAGAGGCACATCGGGCTGGACTCCGGGCAGAGGCACATCGGGCTGGACTCCGGGCAGAGGCACATCGGGCTGGACTCCGGGCAGAGGCACATCGGGCTGGACTCCGGGCAGAGGCACATCGGGCTGGACTCCGGGCAGAGGCACATCGGGCTGGACTCCGGGCAGAGGCACATCGGGCTGGACTCCGGGCAGAGGCACATCGGGCTGGGCACCGGATCACCAGGCGGAGCGGCGGGCCCCGGCCCCCAGGCGGAGCGGCGGGCACAGGGCCCCCAGGCGGGGCGGCAGGCACAGGGCCCCCAGGCGGGGCGGCAGGCACAGGGCCCCCAGGCGGGGCGGCAGGCACAGGGCCCCCAGGCGGGGCGGCAGGCACAGGGCCCCCAGGCGGGGCGGCAGGCACAGGGCCCCCAGGCGGGGCGGCAGGCACAGGGCCCCCATGCGGAGCGGCGGGCACCGGGTCATCAGGCACGACAGCGGGCATCGGGTCACCAGGCATCAGGCCATTTGGCTCGCCAGCGGGCACCGCGTCATCTGGCAAGGCAGTGGGCACCGAGTCACCAGGCACGACAGTGGGCTCCGAGTCAACTGGCATGACCGCGGGCACTGGGTCAGACATTGGATCGTCTGGCTCGACAGCGGGCATCGGGTCACCAGGCATCAGGTCATTTGGCTCGACAGCGGGCACCGCGTCATCTGGCAAGGCAGTGGGCACCGAGTCACCAGGCAGGACAGTGGGCTCTGAGTCAATTGGCACGACAGCGGGCATCGGGTCACCAGGCATGACAGCGGGCACTGGGTCATCAGGCATTGGATCGTCTGGCTCGACAGCGGGCATCGGGTCACCAGGCATGACAGCGGGCACTGGGTCATCAGGTACCGGATCGTCTGGATCGACAGCGGGCACCGGTCATCTGGCGTTGGATCGTCTGGCTCGACAGCGGGCATCGGGTCACCAGGTATGACAGCGGGCACCGGGTCATCAGGTACCGGATCGTCTGGCTCGACAGCAGGCATCGGGTCACCAGGCATGACAGCGGGCACTGGGTCATCAGGCATTGGATTGTCTGGCTCGACAGCGGGCATCGGGTCACCAGGTATGACAGCGGGCACTGGGTCATCAGGCGTGATAGGATCATCAGGCTGGGTACAGACCATCAGGCTGGGTAGAGACATCAGGCTGGGTAGAGACATCAGGCTGGGTAGAGACATCAGGCTGGGTAGAGACATCAGGCTGAAGTGCGGGTGCCGAGGCACCAGGCTGAACCACGGAAGGCGGGTTCTCAGACGGCAGGCTCACCGGTTTGGATACTGGCAGGATGGTACTGGTTGGAAAGAATTTTCACTTTTTTCTGGTTTTAACTACTGGAGCACTGCAAGTAAACGCAGGTCTGCAAACAAATGGAGCAGCTGAGGACAGAGAAGAGCTGGAAGATGGAACAGAGGAGGGAGCAGCCGCCACAGAGGACCTCTCCACAGGGCCAAAGAAAGGATAGGTGCAGCGAGTGGGAGCAGGGGACTGGTATGTGGTAGTTAGAGTATACTGGGCCGTCACTGGGGGTGCTGTCGGGGATGCAGGAAGAGTGCCTTGAGCAGAGGAATGACGTTGCAAGCTGACTGAGGCTGGGTGCAACAAGTCTGACCATGTCTGCAGTATGGGTTGAACAAAGCTGAGCTTACACAAAGCCTGTCTGGTCAAAGACTGCACTGCGTTTATACAATCCCTTAATACCTGTGATGAACATGCAGCATAATGCTCCAAGAAGCAATCCACATCATCCTCTAATAACCATACCAGGGACTCTACCTGGTCTGCACTAAATGGTGGCAAAAAGTCATTCCTGCTTTCAGGGGTACCAGATGAAGCCAACTCTACACAAACCTGAATCAAAGGTTGCACCTCAGAGAACTCTGTGCCCTGATCTACTAGAACATGAGCGATCTGTATACATTCTAGCAGTTGATCCCGGGTATACTTCCTCAGAGTCTGATAAGCATATTCTCTGTCATCAAAAACCAGAAGCGACAAATACACAACCTCATCAAGATCCATCCTTCCCAGCAACAAGCCAAGATGGCTTCCCTGTGCAGCCACTTCTGGTCAGGATCGGCCTTGGTGTAATGTCAGGGATACGGGTGTGACCAGAGGTATGTGAACTGACGCAGGGAAACGCAGGCTTCAGATATGTTATAAACAATATAATTTATTAATACTAACAATACAAAACGCAGTGCAATACTAAAACATAAACACAGTGCAAACGAACCAAACCACCCACAGATAACAATACATACAATGCAAGCGTAGTCAGGCAGGCCGGGTCAATAACAATCGGGCAGGTAGGAGCAGGAGGAGCAGGCAGAGAGTAGTCTGGTCACGAGCCGGGTACAGCAACTAACGGGCAGGTAGGCACAGGGGGTCAGGCAGAGAATGGTCGGGGTCACAAGTCAGGGATCAAACAGGAGAAGTCAGCAGAGGTCAGGATCAAGCAGGGTCGGCAACAAGTCAGTCAGGCAGGAACAGGAATGCAGGTAACAAGATACAGGGGCCTATGGAAAAACACACACCAGGGCCCAGACTGCAGGTCTGGCCATCCCTTAAATACACCTCCGTAATCAGCTTCAGGTGTTTGGCTGACTGCAGGGTTGAGTCTCTGATTGCTGAGAGCACCCGCTGGCCAGCCCTGGTACTGCAGCCCACAAGGCAGGTGAGTCCCACCATTACTGGCAAGTCCATTCCTGACACCCACACTTCACCGCTGCGTAGTTGTGGGTGGGTAAGTGGGGTGGGGCCCAGATTGTATCCTAATTTTTCATAGCGCAAGGGAGGAAACTCTGCAGTAGTGATAGTGAAAAAAACTCATGTAGAAATTGCAGCACAATGGTTCAATCTCTGCCACACTAAGTTAGGCCACTCCCACAGGGTCTGCAGGTACTGGACTTAACTACAGCAGACCACAGGCCTGGAACTGTCAAGAGCTGTCAGTGGGTCCAGTGAACACAGCGACTTAGTGGTCATTCCCGCTCACCTCGCTGGGGTCTGGGTACAGCTCCTCTGGGAAGTCTGTAGCCACAACGTTAGATAAATGCTGCATCTCTGCAGCACCAAGGCTCAGCAGCTGAACGAAATCTCACTAAAATATTTTGGATAATACCATCGGAGTAAAACTCTCTTGAGAGAGAGAGGAATGATGTGCATCACAGTGCAGATGCTAGCAAAAATTGTGGTTATGCTGGAAGAGGGAGGGGTATGCAGAGCAGAGTCAAGGCCTGCTATTTGCCAGTGTCCAATCACTGAAGGTGGGGCAAAGCACAACTGTCTAAAAAATTAATTTTCCTGTGATGTATGGTTAGGAAGTATCAGTTTTTGATACACCGTTTTTTTTTTAAAGTGGAACTTTAGCCAGAGAATTAAGTCCTGCTAAATCACTTCAGGCTGGCCCCTCTTGTAAGTATAGCTATGTAAAACTTGTATTAGAAATAAGCGCCTATACTCTTTAAAATCCAGTAATACACAGTCTCACCCAGCTCTGCACATGCTCGGCTGCTGTATTTTTTGACACTGCTGAAAATCAGAGCCACTGGAGGTTGATGTAACAGCCTAAATATTTACTACTGCACAGAGGCTCTGTGCTTCAGCAAATTGGCAGCCTCAAGAAACAGAAGGGATCGTGGAGGCAATTTACAGCACACGCTAATTTTGGTAGCATAATTATTAATGTAGAATGGATGTTCCTTGCTAAAGAACATTAATTTTTATCAAGTTATGGGTCAAGTTCTTCTTTAACTATACCAATCCATATATTTATATTTATTATTTTACATATATATTGATTAAGGCCATTCTAGCTCTTTATATACTTACTATAATTGGATGGAGCCCATAATAAATTAAGATATCTGCCAATGTTAATTTATTTCCAGCCATGTATACTTTGTCCTCCAGATACATGTTAAGGTCCTAAATGGAAAAGCAGATCAACAATCTTGGTTAACAGTAAAATAGAACAGTAAGCAATACACTTAGACCAGTGTTCAGCTTGGGTAAAACGAAGCATTATATTGCAGAATTTTATACTGCATTTTATTGCAGTTTTTTTTTATACTACTTTGTTGGATTTTTAGGGTAGTTCCAGCAAGTAATTATTCAAAAGAGACAAACAGTATCACATAAAATGGGCCACAAGAAATGAAAAAAACAAACAAAAAACAAACAAACAAAACATTCAAATGAAAATGGTTTCAAACTGCAAAGTCAGACAGTGACCTCTACTGATAAAATCGTTAAATGAACCTCCTCATGAGTAAACAGACAGGAACTCTGGAGTAATAAAAATGCACAACTAAGTGTATTGCCAATGAACGCTCAAGATTGCTTGCAAAAACACAAAATACTGAAAATATCATCAGTCTTGGGGTCACTAAGAATTTGTAAAGAACATTATCAGCAAGTATTCTCAATGCTTTCTCAGAAACCTCTGCACAGTCCTGGAGAGGCTGCACTGTAGACCTTGTTACATTTAACTGATGACCACAGACCCCTTTTACTTTTTACTCTGGTGATCTATTCCATCAGATCAAGGATTGTGCAGAATTTTCCTTTCCCCCTACTTTGCTGGAATAGCAGCGCAGCACAGCTTTTCAGCAAAAGCTACAGCTTTGCTGGAATAGTGGAAGAGAAAGCACACAGGGAAGAACGAACACATGCACAATACTTCTACAGCATTGAACCTATTGGAGCATCACAATACCAAAAAAGATGCTATGCAATTCATTTTTATTTGCATAAATTCATAGCACTCTACACTGAGCATCACAAACCAAAAATGTATGCCATTTTTATGTTCATAGCAAACTCACCCGTCCATGTCTCCATGCTTTATTTTGATGACAAATCACCTTAAAAAAACACCCCCTAGCATTTCTGGCCGTGGTCATCTTGAGTAAGAGCAGATGATAGCATTTACACCCTGGAATCCATCTGCCCGTATCTCAGGCATGCAGGTAGGAGGGTTTGCTTAACTGAGAAAACCTCTCCTCCCCTCCTGAAGACTCCTGGGATGTATGACATTTGCCTAGGCCTGGAAACCAGTAAGTAACTAAAGAATATTTAAAAAAAATAAAAAAAATGTAAGTAAATATGATTTACTTTCCTATCCATTCACTAATGCTAACAGCATAAGGATTAAAAAAAGTCAATATTCACTGAGAGTGATTTCTGCTTTAAAGCATAGTCAAGTGACATCATTTGGGACTCTTGTAAAGTGCCCAAAGACCCCACAATCTAAAACTCATACATGCTGCAATTTGATTTACACTGCTCAAAAAAATTAAAGGAACAATTGAAAACACATCAGATCTCAATGGGGAAAAATATGCTGGATATCTATACTGATATGGACTGAGTAATGTGTTAGGAACATAAGAATGCCCCATCATTTGATGGAAAGTAAGATTATCAACCTACAAAGGACTACATTCAAGACACTCCGAAAATCAAAGTGAAAAAAGGTGCAGCAGACTAGTCCATTTTGCTGAAATTTCACTGCAGCAACTCAAAATGGTACTCAGTAGTTTCTATGGCCCCCACGTGCTTGTATGCATACCTGACAACGTCGGGGTATGCTCCTAATGAGATGATGGATGGTGTCCTGGGGTATTTCCTCCCAGATCTGACCAGGGCATCACTGAGCTCCTGGACAGTCTGAGGTGCAACCTGGCAGGGTCGGATGGACCGAAACATGATATCCCAGAGGTGTTTTATTGGATTTAGGTGAAGAAAGCGTGGGGGCTATTCAATGGTATCAATTCCTTCATCCTCCAGGAACTGCCTGCATACTCACCCCACATGAGGCGGGCATTGTTGTGCACCAGGAGGAACCCAATGCACCAGAGTAGGGTCTGACAATGGGTCCAAGGATTTCATCCTGATACCTAATGGCAGTCAGGGTGCCATTGTCTAGCCTGTAGAGGTCGGTGTGTCCCTCCATGGATATGCCTCCCCAGACCATCACTGACCCACCACCAAAATGGTCATGCTGAACTGTGTTACAGGCAACATAACGTTCTCCATGGCTTCTCCAGACCCTTTCATATCTGTCACATGTGCTCAGGGTGAGCCTGCTCTCACCTGTTAAAAGCACAGGGCGCCAGTGGTGGATCTGCCATTTCCGGTGTTCAATGGCAAATGCCAATCAAGCTCTGTGGTGCCGGGCAGTGATAACAGGGCCCACTAGAGGACATTGGGCCCTCAGGGCACCCTCATGAAGTCTGTTTCTGATTGTTTGGTCAGAGACATTCACACCAGTGGCCTGCTGGAGGTCATTTTGTAGGGCACTGACAATGCTCATCCTGTTCCTGTCCAGCTCTCCTAGAGTGACTGCCTGTCTCCTAGAATCTTCTCCATGCTCTTGAGACTGTGCTGGGAGACGTAGCAAATCTGGCAATGGCATCCTGGAGGAGTTGGACTGCCTGTGCAACCTCTGTAGGGTCCTGGTATTGTCTCATGCTACCAGTAGTGACACTGACCCTAGCCACATGCAAAACGAATGAAAAACAGTCAGAAAAGATGAGTAGGGAAAAATATGTCAGTAGCCTCCACCTTCCTGTTTTGGGGGTTGTCTCATTGTTGCCCATCTAGTGCACCTGTTAATTTCATTAACACCAAAGTAGGTGAAACTGATTAAAAACCCTCTTCTGCTACTGACCAGATCAATATCCCAGGAGTTTAACTGACTTTATGCTATACTCTGATTAAAAAGTGTTCCTTTAATTTTTTTGAGCAGTGTACTATCGCAATTAGATCCATCAACAAATATGTAGTGCAAAGGCCTGATTAATTTGTATATATATTTATTGGTCAAATTAGGTAGGTCCTCATATTACTTAGTTTTGATAAATCCAAAGTTCATTGTATAGACACTGTATGGTCAGATTGTAACATGTGTGGTGAGCCAAAAGCTAACCATCCAGCTTACAAATTTGACTGTACAAGTTCCTTTAGATCTACAAAAACTATGTAATATGAGGACCTACCTAAACCTTCCTATCAGGCCAGAGCTTACCCTACATAGTTGTTGGTAGATTTAAAAAGATATTGTACAATCAGATTTTAGCATGTGGGGGGAGCTTTGCTGAAGGACTTGGCTTTACTTTACACTCATTGTACTTTACTATTAGTTAATCACCTGTGTTATAAATAACAAGCATTACTGTAGTAGAATTACATTAAACACACTGCTCATTTATTTTACAACACACTAAATTATTAGGACTCAGTAACCATTTAAGTTGTCTATTTAAAAAATACACAGGAGGTGACAGTTGCTTCTTTTGTTTGCATTTTAAAAATGATTTGCCCAATAGCCTAACAGCTTTACATTTTTTCTCTTTTTATCCACGGGAAGAAGATGTGGCCAAGAGCATTTACTAAAACGTATTCAAATTAGTACCAGTTAAAAGTGATCTGACATATGTGAATACCCTTCAGCTTATTACTAGAATAACCAAATGTTCTGCTTTTCATATAGCTCTCCAGTCAAGTCATAGCTACAGGATTTGTGTAGTTTTATGAGGCAAGGCATTACACAGAATGACCAGCTTGGAAAATAATACAACTATTCACTGGTAGCAATAGGCAGCTCTATTAGATAAGCAAAGTGATCACAATCATCAAATATGGTGAATTAGGAATGTGCTGAATCACAGGGCCCACTTAGAATCACTGGGATTCAGGAATTCTGCAGTTGAATCCGCTAGAACAGGCGTCTCCAAACATAGGGCCAGTTACCGGTCCTTCAGACTTTAACCACAAGCCTACAGAGACATTTTTGCTTCCACTGACACCAATGATGGGGCACTATCCTTCCCATTGGCACCAGCAATGTGGCATATTTCATATAACTGGTATAAACAATTAGGCTTTATTGCCTTCACTTATACCAATGGTGGGGCACTATTCCCCCGCTGATACCAATGATGGGACATTATTCCTCCCACTAATAACAATCGTGGGGCACTATTCCTCCTTCTACTGACTTCAAGCGATATGTAATTTTTGTTTTGGTTTTTTTTTACTCCCAATGACCCCCAAGCTTGAGACATAGTTTACTCTCACAGGCCACTCCAGCCCCCTTAACCACCTCCCCCCCCCCCCCATATAGTAATATGACGAATGCAAGGTGGTTCTCTCGTTCTGGGAGGACAGCTCCCGGAGCGCACGGCGATGCCCTGTGTCCATCGGACACAACGGATCACCGATCCACGGAAAGAGCCGAAGATGTCGGCTTGGTCATGTGATCAGCTGTTGTGCAATTACAGCTGATCACATGTAAACAGGGAAATGCCGGTTATCGGCATTTCTCTCCTCTCGAGCTGTCACACTGACAGCTTGAGAGGAGAGGAGAGCAGGTAATCGGCATTACGTGGAGGGGACAGGTACACATAGACACTGACAGGTGGCACTGCTGGGGCTACACTGATCATCAGGGCACACTGATCATCAGTGCCCTGATGATTAGTATAGCCCCAGCAGTGCCACCTGCCAGTGTCCTTCAGTGCCAGCTGTCAATGCTCATCAGTGCCACCAATGCCACATATCAGTGCCCATCTGAGCTGCCTTTCAGTGTCACCCATCAGTGCCAGTCAGTGCCACCTATCAATGCCAATCAGTGCTGCCAGTCAGTGCCACCTATCAGTGCCATATATCAGTGCTGCCTTTCAGTGCCCATCAGTGATGCCTGTCAATGCCCATCAGTGCCACCTACCAGTGCCTCCTCATCAGTGCCCATCAGTGCAGCCTATCGGTGCCCATCAATGTAGCCTCATTAGCGCACATCAGTGAAGGAGAAAAATCACTTATTTACAAAATTTTATAACAAAAACTAAGAAAAAAAAATTTTTTTTCAAAATGTTCAGTGGCTTTTGGTTTGTTTAAGAAAAAATAAAAAAAACCCAGGAGGTGATTAAACACCACCAAAATAAAGCTCTGTCACAAAAAAAATGATAAAAATTTCATATGGGTACAGTATTGCATGATCGCACAATTGTCAAAGTGTGACAGCGCTGAAAGCTGGAAATTGGCCTGGGCAGGAAGGGGGTATATGTGCCCTGTAGGCTAGTGGTTAAATATGTGTTTATTTTGATTGTCCAAATAATAATATGATTTCAAGGTAAGCTGTTGTGTGCCTTGTTTGTTGACCAGGACTGTCTTTATTTGCTTATACAGAGCAGTTCCTCTTTTAGGAGCCATCCACTCAGTTATTTTTTTTAAAAAAAAAGGTGAACAAGCTTTGTCAAAGTGATCGCTAATACATTCATAGCCCCAAAGTAATTCAACCCCATCTTGTGTGGCAATAATATGCCTAGATGTGCAACATAACCTACCTATCATTTGTCTTTTCAACTGATAATATAGTCTTAGATTGTAAGTTCCAAGGAGCAGGGCCCTCCTAACTCTCCTGTATTGTCTCCCTTCATATTGTATAGCGCTGAGCAAACTGTTGGCACTATATAAATCCTGTATAATAATAGAAATGGCCTATGTATAGTATATTCAGCTTAAGAATTATTAAAAAATGTAATGTGTATTGCAGGTCAAGTTAAAACAGACCTGCCAAAAAGCATGGCCTCAGCATATCTGCACTGCACAAAAGGCACACTAACCTTTAGAATGGTTCGAACATCTTCTTTAGAAGATAATCTGTCTATACGAGTAATCCTATATTCCAACCACTGTTGTACAATTGCCTTCTCTTCTGTTGAATCACCAAGGAGTTCCTCTTTCCTGGCTTCCATAACTAAATGAGATGCGATAGTGGTAAGTCCCACCAAGCTAGGGTCTTTATTAGTTTGAAGAACTGGAATCTGTGAAAAAAGAATAATTTAAAAAGCTTTTATTTATTCATGTATAATTGGGTTTTCTGTAACGTTTAAGACCCCACCCCAGCTTTTTATTTGACATTAGAAACAAGTAAACTGCAGGTCAAATACATATGTTAATGACTTCTGAATGATCTCAGACTTGTCTCAAACTGATACCATCAGCACAAGCCCTAATTTATGAAAAAAAACAAAACAAAAACAATAAACCTGTGGTCTTTTCGTAGCTTCAGACTGGGAGGGTGCTGTTACGGATGTCCATATTGCAATCTGAATGACATGGAACCTGCCTATTTGCTGTCCACCTGCAAAGTTCTCTCAGGATCCAGAAGAATGCATGTCAGGATACCGGTTAGCAAAAGCACAGACTGCAGAACTGGATTACTTTTCTCCTCTCCTACAAGAGGCTCCAGTGAGAAACAAGGATGGCGGACTGAGCTTAGAACAGCTGAGGGCCACATGCAATAAAGACTGTTGTCAGAAGAAGCAAGGGGCCACATGCTTGGCACTACTGCTATTCATAAAACGCCTTGTATTTTTTTCAATTAATACAAGGTTTTCTCCGTTTAGATGAAGTAGGCAAGGCAAATCAGCAACATTCCAATCCCCACATGGTACAATCAGCATGAACCCCTGCAGTCAGTGTGTAGTGGTGCAGCTGCTTGGCACAGGACCTGGAAGATTACGGTCATCAATGTAATAATGCTGATCACTACAGCGTCATTACCTTTCCAGTGGTCCCCTCAGGTATGAGATATGCATACTTATGTTCACATCCAAGCTGGGGACTAGGCAACTGCACCAACTCTATATGCAGCACAGTGACCAGTCTCCTTGATCATATTAGGCCAATGATGTCACCAGCACCCCCCACCAACCTTTGTGTATATGCATCTACAGGGCAGGGAATGCCCTTGCAGCAGTTGATTCGGCAGCAGGGACAACTTCCTCCTGGATTTAGTTTGAAACCAAGTCCAGCAGGATTATTGGATGATATTTGATCACATCCCTGTAATAATATGAATTTTTGTTCTGCCATCTTACCCTCTCTTTGATCTGCTGTTGCCATGGTGCTGCACATGTGATAAGTTACGACATCAGCTATTGGATGGCTTGACAGTTCAGCCAAGAGCACTAGAAACTGTGACAGTTTTCATCCACAGCATGCTTTGAGAGGCAATAGATTGAGAAGCAATTAACCACTTGCCCTCCAGAGGATTTACCCCCTTCCTGCCCAGGCCATTTTTTGCGATACGGCGCTGTTACATTAACTGAAAATTGTGCGGTCATGCAATTCTGCACCCAAGTGAAATTTATGTCCTTTTTTCCCCCACAAATAGAGCTTTCTTTTGGTGGTATTTGATCACCAGCACATTCTTAATTTTTTTGCACTATAAAACAAAAAAAAAAAGACAATTTTGTAAAAACAAAATATATATATTTTTTTTTACTTTTTGCCATTAAATATATCCAGTAAAGAAAATGTAAAAACAAATTATTTTATGAATTTAGGCCAAAATGTATTGTGCTACATGTCTTTGGTAAGAAAAAAAAAATCCCAATATGTGTAAATGAATTGGTTTATGTGAAAGTTATAGCGTCTACAAATGGCATTATATATACTGGAATTTGTATTTTTTTTATACTAATAATGGCAGCGATTAGCGACTTATAGTGAGACTGTGGAATTCAGACACTGGGTGGGAACTGACTAACTGCCAATGACATCCCAATGACACTAATACAATGATCAGTGCTAATAAAAAGCACTGACACTGTATTAATGACACTGGGCAGGAAGGGGTTAACATCTGGGGCAATCATAGTGTTAGCTATGTGCTGTTTTACAACATGTGCTGTGTGTGTTTTACTTGGGAAACATGCTGCTGTGTATTTCTCTACTGTGCAGAGAAATACACAGCAGCATGTTGTTGCTGGCAGGAGAGAGACCTGTGTTGTTTACACACTAGTCTCTCCCCTGTCAGTGTTACTCGGCGTTCGCTGGGTGCCAGCAGAGAATCTCCGGCCAGGACCTGGTGATTGACATTCGTAGCCGCCAACGCCAGTGCAGGTAGGGCTGCGCGTTTGTGCCCCCTACCCGGAAATGCAAGTCACGTGTATGTATATATATACACGCGAGTTTGTGCAGCCCTGTTGCCCTGCTATAGGGCATCGGGCAACTGGTTAAAGGGGCGTTCAAGCCTAACTAGTTTGAAAAATGTTTTCTCCCCCCTCCTCCTACCTACTATACTGCCTAATCTATGTAAAAAAACATCTTGATACTTATCTACTTTTAGTCTGCTCCAATAACATGATCCCTGGGTTAGTCAGCGGCAGCTGCAGGGAAGAGGAAGGAGTGCCTGACAACAGCAGAGAATTCTGGGGGTTGAGCCATCATGCATAGGCTCCCATGTCTCAGCCGTTGTTGGTGCTCCCTCCTCTACCCTGCAGCTGCTGCTCAACAACATAGGGGAGATGGCGCTGCGGCATCACATGACTGAATTAAAAACAAATAAGTACACACTTTTTTTTTTTTCTGAAACACAGGTTAGGCAGCAGGAGGGAACATTTTTAAGACTAGTTAGTGTTAGGCTTTATTCACGCAGAAACGGACAGCTGCTGGAGTGCTTTACCGCTTTTGCAGCGGTCCATTCTTGACTGTGGTAGGGAGCAGCAAAGTGCGCAGTTCAGTGCATCGCACACAGCTCCTTTTTTTGTATTTGTACAATCTTTGTTTGAAGTGTACAAAAGTACACTTCATTCATGTTGTTGTATAGCAGAGTAATGCAGTGCTGTACAGTGCAATGGGATTCTATACAGTGTTTGCATTTCAGTGTGAATGGGACACACAGGAATCAAATGTTCTTGTGTCCTTGCAGTGATAAGCGATTTAAAATCCAGTATGCCCTGTGTGTCAATTAGCACTTAGGGTGGCCATAGATGGATTGAAATTCACCCAGTCAACAGGGGATGGCCTAGTTTTGATCCATGTGTGGCATACCGATAGACTTCTGTTTAACTCCCTGTTGGCTAAAAGCCACTCGATCAGCACTGCAGGAAATGGCTGCAGCACTGATCTTAGTATTCTGACAGCGAGTGGGAAGGGGAGGGAAATGGGTGGATGCCTACCCACTTTCAGAATACAAGTAAGCCAGACTGTGGCAAGTGGGAATCCTGACATCAGTGGGAATAAACAATGCCCTTCATTGGTGTCAATGGGAGGAACTGTGCCCCATTCGTTGGCGTCAATGGGAGGAACCGTGCCCCATTCGTTGGCGTCAATGGGAGGAACCTTGCCCCATTCGTTGGCGTCAATGGGAGGAACCTTGCCCCATTCGTTGGCGTCAATGGGAGGAACCTTGCCCCATTCGTTGGCGTCAATGGGAGGAACCTTGCCCCATTCGTTGGCATCAATGGGAGGAACCGTGCCCCATTCGTTGGCATCAATGGGAGGAACCGTGCCACCATTCGTTGGCATCAATGAGAGGAACCGTGCCCCATTCGTTGGGGCCAAGGGTAGGAACTGTGCCCCATTGCTGATGCCATTAGGAGTGCTAAGATCGACTTCTGTTCAATTGCCCTGTTGGCTAAAAGCCACTTGATCAGCACTGCAGGAAATGGCTGCAGCACTGATCTTAGTATTCTGACAGAGAGTGGGAAGGGAAGGTGAGGGAGATGGGTGGATACCTACCTGCTGTCAGAATACAATTGGGCCAGACTGTGGAAAGTGGGAGTGCTGACATCAGTGGTAATAAACAATGCCCCAATCGTTGGCATCAATGTGAGGAACTGTGCCAAGATCGACTTCTGTTCGATTGCCCTGTTGGCTAAAAGCCACTTGATCAGCACTGCAGGAAATGGCTGCAGCAATGATCTTAGTATTCTGACAACATGTGGGAAGGGAAGGGGAGGGAGATGAATGGATGCCTACCTGCTGTCAGAACACAATTGGGCCAGACTGTGGAGAGCAGGAGTGCTGACATCAGTGGGAATAAAACAATGCCCTTCTTTGGGGAACCGTGCAATCTTGGAGGAACCGTGCCCCATCCGTTGGCGTTGACTCGGGGGAACCGTGCCCCATCTGTTTGGCGAGGGAAACGGCAACTCGGGGCAGGAACCGTGCCCCACGCTGACGGCGACTCGCGGGAAACATGCCCCACCGCTGACGGCGACGCGAGGGAAACGTGCCCCACCGCTGACAGCGACACGCAGGAAACGTGCCCCATCGCTGGACGGCGACTCGCGCAGGAAACGTGCCCCACCGCTGACGTTGACTCGGGGAACTGTGTCCCATCGCTGACGTCGACTCGGGGGAAACCGTGCCCCATCGCTGACGGCGACTCGCAGGAAATGTGCCCCATCGCTGACAGCGACTCGCAGGAAACGTGCCTCATCGCTGACGTTGACGTCAGGGGAACCGTGCCCCATCGCTGATGTCGACTCGGGGGAACCATGCCCCATCGTCAATGTCATTAGGAGGAATTCTGCCACATTGTTGGTCTCAGTGCTAAGTGTTATGTCCCATTGTTGGAGCCAGATAAAGGTAAGTGAAGGGCCGCATCAGGCCCCAGGGCCACAGCTTGGAGACCAGTGCTGTACACGACCAGTGCACCACATTCAGTCCATGATCAGATCTCTCCTCTGCTGATTGCATCAGCACACACCACGCCGGGTACTATTCATAGTGCAGCAGATGTCCTATAGGGAGACAACTATTCATAGTGAGGTATTTCTTAGGATTGATCTACATTACACAGAACTGCTCAGCACCGCACTACACTTCCAGCACTACTCCATTTACAGGGCACCGGACACTAAGCACTATGGTAACCAAACACACACATTATTCAGCTTAGAGATGGTGCCACTGTAGCAGCAAGATGTGTATCCCATGAAGATATGTCTCCCCTGAAGCAACTGCACATGTGCTGGTTTCAGACAGAAGAAGCCGATCGCCAACTTTAGCACAGAGCTGCCACAGTTAACCCCTTACAGGCTGCACCACTGAAGCTGATCCCGCGGATCACTAGACGCCGACGCTCCCGCAAGATGGATCGAAGCTGCATATTGGGGAGCATAATGGATCGGAGGGAGGACAGTGACATGGGAAGGACAGTGACATGGGGAGGACTGTGAAATGTCGGGGGGGGGGGGGGGGGTGAGGGGACAGACGGACAGTGACATGTGGGGTGGCCAGTGACTTGGAAGGACAGTGGGGGGGGCAGTGACATGTGGGGGGGGGCAGTGACATGGGGGGGGGGGGCAGTGGGGAGGACAGTGACAAGGGGAAAACTGTGACATGGGGGGGCAGTGACATGGGGAAGACTGTGACATGGTGGGGGGCAGTGACATGGGGGGAGGGGCAGTGACGGACAGTGACATGTGGGTAGTGACATGGGGAGGACTGTGACATGTGGGGGGGGGGGGTGGCCTAGTGACATGGGAAGGACTGTGATGTGGGGGGGGCAGTGGCATGGGAAGACAGTGGGGGGTGTGACATGGGAGGGCAGTGACATGTGGGGGGAAGTGACATGAAGGGGGGGGAGTTACATGGGAGGACAGTGACATGGGGAAGACAGTGACGTGGGGGGGGGGGCAGTGACATGGGGAGGACTGTGACATTGGGGGTTGGGGCAGTGACATGGGGAGGACAGGGACATTGGATGGGATAGTGACATGGGGAAGACAGTGACAGTGGGGGGGGGGGTGACAGGGACATGGGAAGAGGACAGGGGGCACATGGGGAGGAAAAGTGTCAGTGACATGGGAGGGGGGGCAGTGTCAGTGACATGGGGAGGGACTGGACAGTGTCAGGCACATGGGGAACAGTGACATGGGGGGACAGTTATACTGAACGGGGGGGGGGGGCAGTCAGTGAAATGGGGGGACGGGACACAGTGATAGTGACATCGGGGAGGACTGTTCTCCCCGATGTGTAGTGACATCGGGGAGGACTGTTCTCCCCGATCACTGTCCTCCCCCATGTCACTGACACTGCAACCTCCATATCACTGCCACTGCCCCCCATGTAACTGACAAGGTCTCCCCCATGTCACAGACACTGCCCCCCCATATCACCAACACCATCCCCCCCATGTCACTGGCATGCCTCCCCCCCCCCCCCCCATGTCGCTGACACTATCCTCCCCCATGTCACTAACACTGCTCCCCCCCCCCATGTCACTGACACATCCGATCCTCCCCATGTCACTGACACTGACACTATCCGATGCTGCCAGATGTCGCTGCAGACTGTTCCCCCCATGTCACTGACACTGTCCGATGCTGCCAGATGTCACTGCAGATTGCCCCCCCCCCCCCCATGTCACTGACACTGTCCAATGTCGCTGCAGATAATTTGACAGGTAACAGCCCCCGCCGACCACTCGGCGTGTAAGGGGTTAATTTCCCTCAGGTACATGTTCGGATGTAGTAGTTCGACTGATCGCGCCTGAAACCGGCACGTGCGCAGTTCCTTCGGGGGGGGACACAAATTAGCATTACACCACCGCCTGACAACACCCATGTCATCCTCACATTACCTGTCTGTCCCCCTGAGCCCGGCTGCTGTACTTTCCTGCCTTTAATCCCAGAAATTTCTCCAATGCACGCAACTCCTCAACCGCCATCTTGGTTGGCAAGTCACACACTGCCAACCGCGCCGCACAAGACCTCCCCCTTCCCTTCTAAATGAGATGTTACTCGATTGGTCCAAAAGTGAGTGACGGTTCTTAGAGCCCAATCCCTACCACAAGGTCTGATTGGTAAGAGTAGACAGGGGCGGGGCACATGTGGCTGAAAACAAATGAATGGGCTTGCGCGTTGTATGCACTTGCAGCTCAGTGCTGAGAGGTCGGCGTGTCTGTAGGAATGGTTGTAGATTTGTGTGTAAAGGGAGATAAATGTGCACACTGGCGACAAACACCGGATGGAAGTATTATGACTTTATTGTGCACTTATGGCAAAACTGGCTTCAGGTTCCCTGAATTCTGTGTAGCTCGGCGTGCCGCTTTTCAGCCTGGAAGCATGCTGTGTAGAAGCCTCACTTCCTCTTCTAGCGTAGGCACCAAATGTATGGGAGAAGACTGAAAAGGGGCGGACTGACCATTCGGGCTTTGCATGGGGCTGGGCGGATCCATGTCACTGTCAAGTGACCGTGTGCGGAGCGCAGGAGGAGGCAGTCTTAGATCCCCACCCAGAAGTAGCTCGCCTGTCACTTCACGTGGTGGCAGGGCGAGTTGGGTGACGGGGGGGAGGCTTCCAGCTGCCTTGTTGAAATCCATGCAGGGAGATCGGTGCTGTCACTGTCCCTCCACTGCACCGATCATCCCTGACTGTGCATCGGATTTCCCTCCTGGCCCCCCACCCTCTGTGTTCCTCATCTCCCCCCCTCACAGGTCTCTGATGCCTCCTCTTCTCTGACAGTGTCCAGCCCCTCCCCCCCCCATCCTCCACTGCAGAGGAGAGGATCTGCACTGCCTCCCTGTCCAGATCAGCCGGCAGCTCTGTGATGCTTCTGAATGTACTCTCTCTCGCCCTCACTCTCTACCCCTCACTCTCCTCCTCCCCCCCCTCTCTCTCCCTTTCCCCCCTTCCTCTCTCCTCCATCCCTCTCCCGCTCTCCCGCTCCCCCCTCCCTCCCCCTCTGTCTCTCCCTCTCTGTCTCTCCCCCTTCCCCTCTCTCTCTCTCCCATCCATTCCTTCCCTTTTCTTCTTCTCTCTATCCCCTCCCTTCATTCTTTCCCCCCCTCCCCTTCTTTCATTATTTTCTCCCATCCCTCCTTTCATTTCCTTCCTCCTTTCCACCCCACCTTCATTCTCTCCTCCATCCATTCCTTCCCTCCCTTTCTTCCTTCCCTCCCTTTCTTCCTTCCCTCCCTTTCTTCCTTCCCTCCCTTTCTTCCCCCTCCCTTTCTTCCTTCCCTCCCTTTCTTCCTTCCCTCCCTTTCTTCCTTCCCTCCCTTTTCTTCCTTCCCTCCCTTTCTTCCTTCCCTCCCTTTCTTCCTTCCCTCCCTTCCTTCATCCATTCCCTCCCTTTTCTTCCTTCCCTCCCCTTCCTTCATTCCTTCCTCCAACCATTCCCTCCTTTTTCTTCCTTCCTCCATCCCCTCCATTCTTTCCTTCCTTCCCTCTCTCTCTTCCTTCCTTTCGATCTCCCTCCCTTTCTTTCCTTCCTTCCTTCATTTCATCCCTCCTTTTTCTTCCTTCTTTCCCTCCCCTTCCTCCATTCATTTTCTTCTTTCCTTCCTCCATTCCCTCCCTCCCTCCCTTTTCTTGCTTTCCTTCATTCCTTCCTCTATCCCCTCCCTTCATTTTTTTTCCTTCCCTCCCTCCTCATCCCTCAATCATTCCTTCCTTCTTTCCTCACCTTCCTTCAATCCTTCCTCCCTACCTTCATTCCTTCCTCTATCCCCTCCCTTCCTTCATTCTTTCCTCCCTCCCTCCTTTGATTTCCTTCCTCCCTCCTTCCTTCCTTCCCTCCCTTTCCTTCATCCATTTCCTTCCTTTCTTCATCCATTCCCTCCCTTCCTTCTCTTCCCTTCCTTCCTTTCTCTATCCATTCCCTTTTCTTCCTTCTTCCCTCCCCTCCTTCCTTCCTTCCCTTTTCCTTCCTCCAACCCCTCCCTTTATACTTTCCTCCCTGCCTCCCCTCCTTTCATTTCCTTCCTTCCTCCTTCCCTCACCCTCTTTCATTCATTCCTTCCTCCATCCATTCCCTCCCTCCCTTTTCTTCCTTCCTTAATCATGCATTCCCTGCCTTTATTCCTTCCTTCCTTCCTTTCCTCCCCTTCCTTTATTCCTTCCTCCATCCATTTCCTTCCTTTTCCATCCCCTCCATTATTTCCTTCCTTCCTTCATCCCCTCCCTTCATTCTTTCCTCCTTCCCCTCCTTTTATTTCCTTCTCCCCCCCCCCTCCTCTCCTTTTATTTCCTTCCCTCCTCCCCCTTCCTTTCCTCCATCCATTCCCTTTCTTCCTCCCTCCATCTATTCCCTCATTTTCTTCCTTCATTCCTTCCTTCCCCCTTTACCTTCATTACTTCATCCATCCATTTTCTTTCCTCCCACCCCTCCTTCCTTCCCTCTCCTTCCTTCCTCCATCCATTCCCTCCCTCCTTTTTCTTTCCTTCCTTCCTCCCTCTCTTCCTTCCCTTCCTTCCTGCCTCCCTCCTTTCATTACCATCCTTCCTTCCCTCCCTTTCCTTCATTCTTTCCTCCATCCATTTCCTTCCTTCCGACATCCATTCCCTCCCGCCCTCCCTTTTCTTCCTTCCCTTCCTTCCTTTCTCTATCCATTCCCTTTTCTTCCTTCCTTTCCTTCCTTCATCCATTCCTTCCTTCATCCATTCCCTCCCTTTTCTTCCTTCCTCCATCCCCTCCCTTCATTCTTTCCTCCCTCCCCTCCTTTCATTTCCTCCCTTCCTTCCTTCTTTCCTTGCCCCCACCCTCCTTCCTTCCTTCCTCCTTCCCTCACCCTCCTTCATAAGCAAATTGTGTAAACAAAAAAAAAAACAAAACTGATCACTTCCCCAAAGTAGTGCAATGTTACTATGGTAACATTATACTACTTTGGTCATAGTGAAATATGGAAAAAAAAATCTTAAAAAAAAGAAAACAATTTAATAAAAATAAAATATAAAAAAAAATTATCAATTTTGTTTTTCGTACTGTCACCAGTCAGTGCCCCTGATCACCGCCATGCCAGTTATATGATGACGCTGTACTGCACTGGTGACAATATGTAAAAAAAAATAGTGAAAATCATTTTGCTAATTTCTTCATTTTCCAAAAAATTATGACAAAAAAATTACAACTTCAAAAAACTTGACATGCCTGTTATGATGTTACTGTTACTGTTATGATGCTCCAATTAGCTCTGGGAGAAGTCATTAAGCTAGGGCCTCACATACTTTTTTCTCCCTGCACTGTGAATGTTTACATGTTATGTGCAATTAAACCATGGCAACATCTAATGTTTGTGTAGTATTATGTTCAGCAGACTGTGTTCTTTACTATTTTTGTGACTTAGATGACATTCAGAGCACATTTTATGCCCAATTCATGCAAAACTCCACGTAATCCCAAGGGGTTCATATACTTTTTCTTGCAACTGTAGGTCACATAGTGGCTGGAAGGTGTACTCAGCTGCACATGGTGGCAAAATATTTTTCTGTTTTCTTTTGTGCTCCATTTTTTTTTCCCTTTGTGCTCAACTGTCTTACGTTTTTTTCTTACTTTCATGTACAGTTGACTGAGCGTTGTCATCTGTCATGAGCTATTCACCACAAGCACAAGGCTCTCTTAGCCTAGCTGAGAAACCATCAGCAAGGTTCAAAGAAAAAGTAGCAACCTCTAGAACTTTTATCTTCCTGGATTTTCAAGACTATCCAAAGGACCTACAGAGTAGGCAGCCAGGAGTCTTAAGCAGTGGTGAGGACCTATTCGACAAAATCAATCTTGATGTCGTAGACAGCATATGCCTATGACATATCTCCTTAACCATTTCAATACCATGCAATTTTACACCTTCCTGCCCAGGCCAGTTTTCACGTTTCAGCGCTCTCACACTTTGAATGACAATTGCTCGGTCATACAACATTGTACCCAAACTAAAATTTTATCATTTTCTTCACACAACTAGAGCTTTCTTTTGGTGGTATTTAATCACCGCTGGGGTTTTTATTTTTTGCTAAATTAACAAAAAAAAGACCAAAAATTTTGAAAAAAAAAGTTTTTCTTTGTTTCTGTTATAAAAGTTTACAAATAAATAATTGTTCTTCATAAACTTAGGCCGAGATGTATTCTACTACATGTCTTTGGTGAAAATAAACCAAATTAGGATGTATTTTTTAGTTTGTAGGAAAGTTATAGAGTTCACAAACTATGGTATAGATCTGAATATTGATCAATCCTGAAGTACTGATGGCCAATCTAATTTCTTGAGGTCCAAGAATGTCAGAATAGTACAGATATCCCCCAAATGATCCCTTTTTGCAGAGTAGACAGTCCGACGTACTTCATAAGAGGCATGGCGAGTTTTTTAAAGTTGTATTTTTTTTGTCATAATTTTTTGGAAAATGAAAAAATTAAAAAAATTATTTTCACTATTTTTTTTACATACTGTCACCAGTGCAGTACAGCGTCATCATATAACTGGCATGGCGGTGAACAGGGACACTGACTGGTGACAGTATGAAAAAAAAAATATATATATATATATTTTTTTATTATTTTTAATTTTTTATTACATTTTTTTAATTTTTTTTTAAAGATTTTTATTCATATTTTACTATGACCAAAGTAGTACAATGTTACCATAGTAACATTGTACTACTTTGGGGAAGTGATCAGTATTTTTTTTTTTTTTACACAATTTGCTTATAGCAAAGAATTACTTTGCTATAAGCAAGCATTTACCAGAATGAAATCGATTCATTCAGTTTTTTTTTTTTTTTTTTTTTTGTGCTTAGCTGTGATTTGGTCACAGCTAATTACATGACATGTGCATGTGACCTGCTGTGACCATTCACAGCTAGGCACTAGTATACAATGGATGGCATGAATGAAGCCATCCATTGTATACAACTGTCATGTGACCTGCTGTGATTGGTCACAGAAGGTCACATGGTA